TTCTGGTACGTCCCAAGCTTACCTGGATATAATTATAGTTCTAGTACGTCCCAAGCTTACCTGGATATAATTACAGTTCTGGCACGTCCCAAGCTTACCTGGATTTATTTACCATTCTGGCACGTCCCAACCTTACCTGGATTTATTTACCATTCTGGCACGTCCCAAGCTTACCTGGATATAATTACAGTTCTAGTACGTCCCAAGCTTACATGGATATAATTACAGTTCTGGTATGTCCCAAGCTTACCTAGATATAATTACAGTTCTAGTAGGTCCCAAGCTTACCTAGATATAATTACAGTTCTAGTACGTTCCAAGCTTACCTGGATATAATTACAGTTCTAGTACGTCACAAGCTTACCTGGATATAATTACAGTTCTAGTAGGGCACAAGCTTACCTGGATATAATTACAGTTCTAGTAGGGCACAAGCTTACCTGGATATAATTACAGTTCTAGTAGGGCACAAGCTTACCTGGATATAATTACAGTTCTAGTAGGGCACAAGCTTACCTGGATATAATTACAGTTCTAGTAGGGCACAAGCTTACCTGGATATAATTACAGTTCTAGTAGGGCACAAGCTTACCTGGATATAATTACAGTTCTAGTAGGGCACAAGCTTACCTGGATATAATTACAGTTCTAGTAGGGCACAAGCTTACCTGGATATAATTACAGTTCTAGTAGGGCACAAGCTTACCTGGATATAATTACAGTTCTAGTAGGGCACAAGCTTACCTGGATATAATTACAGTTCTAGTAGGGCACAAGCTTACCTGGATATAATTACAGTTCTAGTAGGGCACAAGCTTACCTGGATATAATTACAGTTCTAGTAGGGCACAAGCTTACCTGGATATAATTACAGTTCTAGTAGGGCACAAGCTTACCTGGATATAATTACAGTTCTAGTAGGGCACAAGCTTACCTGGATATAATTACAGTTCTAGTAGGGCACAAGCTTACCTGGATATAATTACAGTTCTAGTAGGGCACAAGCTTACCTGGATATAATTACAGTTCTAGTAGGGCACAAGCTTACCTGGATATAATTACAGTTCTAGTAGGGCACAAGCTTACCTGGATATAATTACAGTTCTAGTAGGGCACAAGCTTACCTGGATATAATTACAGTTCTAGTAGGGCACAAGCTTACCTGGATATAATTACAGTTCTAGTAGGGCACAAGCTTACCTGGATATAATTACAGTTCTAGTAGGGCACAAGCTTACCTGGATATAATTACAGTTCTAGTAGGGCACAAGCTTACCTGGATATAATTACAGTTCTAGTAGGGCACAAGCTTACCTGGATATAATTACAGTTCTAGTAGGGCACAAGCTTACCTGGATATAATTACAGTTCTAGTAGGGCACAAGCTTACCTGGATATAATTACAGTTCTAGTAGGGCACAAGCTTACCTGGATATAATTACAGTTCTAGTAGGGCACAAGCTTACCTGGATATAATTACAGTTCTAGTAGGGCACAAGCTTACCTGGATATAATTACAGTTCTAGTAGGGCACAAGCTTACCTGGATATAATTACAGTTCTAGTAGGGCACAAGCTTACCTGGATATAATTACAGTTCTAGTAGGGCACAAGCTTACCTGGATATAATTACAGTTCTAGTAGGGCACAAGCTTACCTGGATATAATTACAGTTCTAGTAGGGCACAAGCTTACCTGGATATAATTACAGTTCTAGTAGGGCACAAGCTTACCTGGATATAATTACAGTTCTAGTAGGGCACAAGCTTACCTGGATATAATTACAGTTCTAGTAGGGCACAAGCTTACCTGGATATAATTACAGTTCTAGTAGGGCACAAGCTTACCTGGATATAATTACAGTTCTAGTAGGGCACAAGCTTACCTGGATATAATTACAGTTCTAGTAGGGCACAAGCTTACCTGGATATAATTACAGTTCTAGTAGGGCACAAGCTTACCTGGATATAATTACAGTTCTAGTAGGGCACAAGCTTACCTGGATATAATTACAGTTCTAGTAGGGCACAAGCTTACCTGGATATAATTACAGTTCTAGTAGGGCACAAGCTTACCTGGATATAATTACAGTTCTAGTAGGGCACAAGCTTACCTGGATATAATTACAGTTCTAGTAGGGCACAAGCTTACCTGGATATAATTACAGTTCTAGTAGGGCACAAGCTTACCTGGATATAATTACAGTTCTAGTAGGGCACAAGCTTACCTGGATATAATTACAGTTCTAGTAGGGCACAAGCTTACCTGGATATAATTACAGTTCTAGTAGGGCACAAGCTTACCTGGATATAATTACAGTTCTAGTAGGGCACAAGCTTACCTGGATATAATTACAGTTCTAGTAGGGCACAAGCTTACCTGGATATAATTACAGTTCTAGTAGGGCACAAGCTTACCTGGATATAATTACAGTTCTAGTAGGGCACAAGCTTACCTGGATATAATTACAGTTCTAGTAGGGCACAAGCTTACCTGGATATAATTACAGTTCTAGTAGGGCACAAGCTTACCTGGATATAATTACAGTTCTAGTAGGGCACAAGCTTACCTGGATATAATTACAGTTCTAGTAGGGCACAAGCTTACCTGGATATAATTACAGTTCTAGTAGGGCACAAGCTTACCTGGATATAATTACAGTTCTAGTAGGGCACAAGCTTACCTGGATATAATTACAGTTCTAGTAGGGCACAAGCTTACCTGGATATAATTACAGTTCTAGTAGGGCACAAGCTTACCTGGATATAATTACAGTTCTAGTAGGGCACAAGCTTACCTGGATATAATTACAGTTCTAGTAGGGCACAAGCTTACCTGGATATAATTACAGTTCTAGTAGGGCACAAGCTTACCTGGATATAATTACAGTTCTAGTAGGGCACAAGCTTACCTGGATATAATTACAGTTCTAGTAGGGCACAAGCTTACCTGGATATAATTACAGTTCTAGTAGGGCACAAGCTTACCTGGATATAATTACAGTTCTAGTAGGGCACAAGCTTACCTGGATATAATTACAGTTCTAGTAGGGCACAAGCTTACCTGGATATAATTACAGTTCTAGTAGGGCACAAGCTTACCTGGATATAATTACAGTTCTAGTAGGGCACAAGCTTACCTGGATATAATTACAGTTCTAGTAGGGCACAAGCTTACCTGGATATAATTACAGTTCTAGTAGGGCACAAGCTTACCTGGATATAATTACAGTTCTAGTAGGGCACAAGCTTACCTGGATATAATTACAGTTCTAGTAGGGCACAAGCTTACCTGGATATAATTACAGTTCTAGTAGGGCACAAGCTTACCTGGATATAATTACAGTTCTAGTAGGGCACAAGCTTACCTGGATATAATTACAGTTCTAGTAGGGCACAAGCTTACCTGGATATAATTACAGTTCTAGTAGGGCACAAGCTTACCTGGATATGATTCCAATTCCGTACGTTTCACTTCGTGCCTGGACAACACTACACATTGTGCCTGGACAACACTACACGCCAGGTTTGTCAATCGAAACTGCATTAATCTAACACTTGCGTCTATTTAACCGAATGTAAAAATAATGAAGACGTCACGAATTGGCAAAACAGTTGTAGTTCTGTTCAGATAGCTAGTTTCTTTGCCTCCTAAGACTCGCCTACACATGCACGCATACGTTACAAATATAGTGACTTGTCCTTAAATGGTATCTTAATATTTTCTCTCTACTTTCTTACAACCTTTTGTCCAGTGCCTCCGCTAACAATACCTTACTTTTGGCTTTAGTGTTGATTGTTCGCCAAAGTGAGGACGGCAATGCGTTCTGTCTCTAGAACATACCCAAGTCCTTAGGAAGGTAGTTTTTATTTCCAGCTTAGCGTGTAGAGTAATGACAACAAATGGTTAACCTGTTGCCGATATAATATGACTGGATGGAATACTATGCTTGGTGTCATCGGCATGGTGTTTCAAAGAGGTAGCACTCTAATGTCGGCACCCAACATACCGCCTCCCGCACACTCATCTTACACACATGGCAGCATGTCTTTAAACGACCTTAGGTGTTAATAGGACGTTAAACAAAAACTACAGAATACATAATTCTACTTAATTGAGATGTTGATTAAACTTATGAAAATCAATACCAAGGTCTGGACATGTAGTGACTGGAGATCAAATAAAACACACATGTGAATGTATTTGCCTCCTTGTGATAGCACGGATCTGATGCCTGCTTTAGAACGCTACCTCACTAAAATGCCATGCCAAAGGCACCAAGCACAGCATTCTGCCCAAGAGTAACATGCTCTGCACCCCTGGAATATGCCGTGACAAAATTGACTCAATTATGGACTCAGTAATTAGCTGAACGTGTTATACTAAAAACAGTCATGGACTCAATGTTTAGGTGAAAGAGCATTACATGACAAACTCAGACTCAATAAGCTGAAAATGCAATACACGACAAACTTGCGGACTTAATAGTGGACAAACTTGCAGCCTCGACAAATTCACGACAAAATCGCTTACTCAATAATTAAATGAATGTGAATTACAAAATCGCGGTCTCAATAATTAAATGAATGTGAATTACAAAATCGCGGTCTCAATAATTAAATGAATGTGAATTACAAAATCGCGGTCTCAATAATTAAATGAATGTGAATTACAAAATCGCGGTCTCAATAATTAAATGAATGTGAATTACAAAATCGCGGTCTCAATAATTAAATGAATGTGAATTACAAAATCGCGGTCTCAATAATTAAATGAATGTGAATTACAAAATCGCGGTCTCAATAATTAAATGAATGTGAATTACAAAATCGCGGTCTCAATAATTAAATGAATGTGAATTACAAAATCGCGGTCTCAATAATTAAATGAATGTGAATTACAAAATCGCGGTCTCAATAAATAAGCTTGAAGAACAACAGAAGACATATCCAGATCAAAATAGTTGACCTACTAAAATAATGAAATAACAAAATGTCACGTAAAGAAGGAGTGATTTATTGAGAAAAGAAAAGTCCTTTGAATGTGCTCCTGGATATATTCTGAGTTTCTTGAGGAACATACGTATATGCAAAAATATTCATGTGCCATTAGAACTGGAAAAATTATCGACAAAACAGTATCCTGTCCATTTCACAAGATCAGAATTAACAACGGACACTTTATATTCATATTGTTTTTCTACCTGGCAGGTAGATAACTATTTTACAATTTTCAGTAAAACTCCATTCCTACACAATTATGGTATTCGGGCAGGAACACAGAAATTAGAACAATTTCAACAAAGTGATATTTTTCATTAAGTTGATTAAAACTGACACACCATAAGTCATGTTTTCATCAATTGGAAACAAAACATTAAAATAATAATAAATCACATATCATAATGGCACTCTTTCATGTGTAATCATTGTTTGTAGCAGTTAGTAAGTTCTTTACCGTCTTATTTTAATTCCTATGTGATAAAAATCAACGGAATGTCCGGTATAAACAAATGTATGTATAGTTCAGAAAATGTATTGTACATAACAATAGTGACTGCAATGTTTGTTTTACTATTCTGGTACATAGACATATCACGTGATCAACCAATCAATGTATTCATCTGCACTATATTTAGTAGAGTTGAAAGATACGGATATAATTGATTTGATCTGTAGAATCAAAAGTAACTACAAACGTGTCACCACGAACAGCTATTGCCCGTGGATATTTCATTCCATCTGATGACGTCAGCAGTTCCCTGACGTGTGTCCCGTCCTCAGACATCTGTACGACGTTGTGTGATTCTTTTCCACACACGTAGATGTTACCCTCCCTGTCCACGTCTATTCCCCTAGCACCACTCACGACATCGACCTTCATCACATCCATGTGACGTTTGTCAGCCGACAGTCTGGACACCGCGACCTTCCCCTTGTTGTTGTTACCGACACTGACGATTGTGTCTCCCTTTACTGGATCTTGTGTGAGGCTATAACAGATGATGTTATACTTATGTAACAACTCAGTCGCTCCGTCCTGTGTCACACTGTATACCTCTCCTACATATGTACTCACGACAAACCTCCCGTCTGTATGTGTTATACCATAACAGTGTTTAACATTAGTCATGTTGATCTCAGACGACAGGGAGAGTTTTAAATCCTTGATTTTCACGACCCGAACACCACTGGGACTGTCGACAGCGACCGCCACGGTATTGTTGTTCACCAGACACAGATCCCAGAGATCTCCCCGGATAGTCAACTCGTCCAGGTACTGTCCTTTGTCTGTAAACAACTTCAGCTTCCTGTTGTTGCTATCACTAACTACTATCTGTTCATTTGGAAGATACACAACCCCACGTATCAAACAATTAGATTTATCAGACGGAGTCTTTACGTTAAACTTCCCTATTTCTTTTACACGACGCTCAGACAAAGGAACGGACAGGTAATCAAGATCACCAGGAAGACATCGGCGTTGTCTCTCGATTACGACCTTCCCCATCGCCTCATCACCGAGGGTTACCAGTCTGGGAACAATATGATGCCTAATGCTGACGGACATAAAGGACGTGCTCATCTCCGTGACCAGGGCCTTACACGACTCCACTTCTGCTTGTCCTCTCTGATACAAAACTATCGCCTCAATAGTGTTGTTTTCCTCTGTGGCGGTAACGGACGACTTCATGGTATTAACCATACTGTTCATCAGACGTTCACACTGTCGTGACGAGGCCTCCATATTCCCCTTCTCCTCTTTAAACAATGCAATTAACTTGTCAGTAACGTCCCTCTGAACTTTGTTCAGCTGTTCTTCGACACTTTGGCGCAGATCTTTGATGCTTTGCAGTGCGATTTCCTGATTTTGAACCATGGTTTGGATCTGCTCGTCAAAATCCTTAACCAATGACGTCATAGCCTGTGCTCCTTTCTTCAGTGCCATCTCCATCTCTTCTAGTTGTGAACCGGCTTTTATCTTCTGTAAATATTCCATTGCCGTCGTCACCTCATCACAACGTCTGTGGTCTTTGATCATACATATGTTGCATCCAAGACGTTTGTGGTCTTCACAGTACCAAATCAATATCTCGTCGTGTTGGTCGCATTTAGGGACTGACTGTTTCTGTTTTGTTTTCCTGCTATCGTACCTAGTAATATCTAAGATATCACAATCATTATGTAAGACATCATGATGTTGTACTTTACAAATCTCACAAAAATTTACGTTCATCGACTTGCACCAGAATTTCGCTAGATTTGTCAGGTCACCTTTTGTCTGGCATGGCTTGCAGTACAGTGGTTCAGACGAACGTTCCCTGAGCTGGATAAGATCCTGGATCACAACATTAGTCGGGAACTGTTCTGCCCATTTGTCCTTAGCTTCTGTTTGATTGGCGGGCTGGGCCATTCTCCTACAGACAGGACAAGGGAACGATGTTGCCGACACCGTTTTTCCAGACAGCTCCTTGGTGATGTAGGTGCCGAGGCATTCCTGACAGAAGCAGTGGAGGCAGGGTAAGGACTTGGGTTGTCGAAGTCGCTCCAGACATATTGGACACTCCAGTAAGTGTACGTCCAGTTCTGGAGAGGGGCCGCCTTCAGCCATAGTAACAGCTAGGGCAGATTAACACTGGCCTGAAAAGAAAAGATGTACGATAATAATTTGATGGATTTCACACAAATATTCTATAAAACAGTTCGCACATTTAATAGCTGGTTCATTGTTCTGTACCCTATAGGTTTCACCTTTGATTAAAATATTGAATTATAGACCTACACACATTTTAGTTATAGTTCTATTTGTATGTAAGGTTGGAGGGCCTGTATCGATCATTTGGATAAAAGTGCTTGATTTGAGGTGAAGATTTAGCACTCCATGGTAGGTACTGTATGTACATATGAAATTTCAGAAAGATCCATCTAGTTTTTCTGGAAATAAAGTGAGAACATACTTCAAATGTCAAAATCCAAGATGGCCATCTTGATTTAATGAATGCACCTTTATAGCAACAGGCACAACTAGACAACTTGATTGAGACCAAATTGGGATACACTCATGTAATCACTATGGCAGAAGATGGATTTCGTAGGTCTTATGTCTATTCCCCTATTGGGCCCCGTTCCTCTGCCCTGGGTGCCACACCCACCATTTATACAAAATTGAGTGCCCTTGGCCCAAGGATGGTTCAGAGTAAATAAGGATAAAATCCCTTTATCCCTATTCTAGAAGAAGGATTTTGAAAGCTTGACCTCTATTTCCCCTATTGGACCCCACTTCTCTGCCCCCAGGTGGGTGGCTGGGTGGGTTACCAACCGTTTTTACAAATTGAGACCCCTTGGCCTAAGGATGCTCCAGACTTAATTAAAATAAATCCTTGTACCCATACGCTACAAGAATGATTTTAAAAGTTTTATCTCTTTTCCCCCTATTGCCCTTCTCTCCTCTGCTCCAAGGGGGGGGGGGGGGCAAACCCACTGTTTATACAATATTGAGTCCCCTCGGACCAATGATGCTCCATACCAGATTTAGGTAAAATTTACTTAGCCTTTCAGGACTAGTAGCGCTTAAAGGAAAAGTTGACGGACGGACGCTGCGCCCTTTGGGCAGGTAAGCTTTTAAGTCTCCCATTTCCATCAAATAGTGAGTTTTTAAAATGAATTATTCTCTGTTTCCGAAGGCCATTAACACTGTCGTAGTTCGAACACGTTTTCAAGAAATGACATTACAGTTTTGTGTATTGTGAAATACAATGCATTGATTTCAGCTAAAAACTTTTGCAGTGCACACTTGTTTATTATAATTAGAGACGAAAATAGCCTATGCATGATACATGTTTTAACTTTGAACTTTGAACCCTGTCTATGACCTACTCTGAAAAGAGGACCTTCGTAACTAGTGTGTTGTATCAGGGTTGTTGATAAAGATTAAATGGATAGAGAGAGGGGGTCACCACGGGAAGGGGGATTGTGGTGTTATTCTTAGATTTTATTTTGAAATGATGTGCTCTGTTGTGAAGCTGTAAATGTAATTGATATCTTTTTTTCTTTTGTTTTTCAATGTCATTATATGTTTTTGATCAATTGTAATACCAGAATATAAGTACAGCAATATAAATACTTTTTGACTGAATAGGACACTTTCTGTGGGGAAAGGAGACACTATTTTGTCTGGGAGGACAAGACACTATTTTATGTGCGGGAAGTCGGGAAAGGTACACTTTATTCGTGGAAGGGTGTATACTATTTTGTGGGAGGACCGGACAATATTGTTTGTAGGAACAGTCACTTTGTTATGTGAGGACAAGTTACGTTTTTTGTTTGGGGACTAGACTTTCTTAAAAGGATCTTGTACATTTGTTTTCAAAGCAGAGCATGGTTAGGTTTTGTTCCTGTGATGTCGTGGTACTGTTTCACCACCCGGCATTGTGGTATATTTCACTACCTGACATCGTGGTACTATTTCACCACCCGACATTGTGGTACTATTTCACCACCCGACTTAGAAAGAAACAGATTTGTCAATTAATATGTTCATGTTGTTGTTTGTACGTTTCGTTACACATTCATTATGTGATAAACAAGAGGCCTAATGGGCCTGCATCGCTCACCTGGTATTAATTTCACACTTGTAATCTTAAAAGTGGACTAAAATACAGCAACAGGCAGAATATCAGTGTTTGATTCATAAGAACCTATTAAAAGATTTAAACATATGGCGCCTGTGACCTTGAATGTCGAACAAGGACATTAGGTTGAAAGTGGGTCAAGGTCATTCATTTGAACAAACTTGGTAGCCCTTTACCCCAGCATGCTACAGGCCCAATATCAGTACCCTGGGCCTTTTGGTTATTGAGAAGAAGTCGTTTGAAGATTTTAAGACATATGACCCCAGTGACCTTGAAAGTTTGTCAAGATCATTCATTTGAACAAACTTGGAAGCCCTTCATCCAAGCATGCTACAGGCCCAATATCAGTACCCTGGGCCTGTTGGTTATTAAGAAGAAGTCGTTTGAAGATTTAAAGACATTTGAGCCCTGTGACCTTGAAAATGGGTCAAGGTAATTCAGTTGAGCAAACTTGGTAGCCCTTCACCCCAGCATGCTACAGGCCCAATATCAGTACCCTGAGTCTTTTGGTTATTCAGAAGAAGTTGTTTGAAGATTTTAAGACGTTTGACCCCTGTGACCTTGAAAGTGGGTCAAAATCAATTATTTGAACAAACTTGGTAGCCCTTCATCCCAGCATGCTACATGCCAAATATCATCAACCTGGGCCTCTTGGTTATTGAGAAGAAGTTGTTTAAAGATTTTAACATATTTGACCCCCGTGACCTTGAAAATTGATGAAGGTCATTTATTTGAACAAACTTGGTAGCCCTTCATCCATGCATGCTTCTGGCCAAATATCATCACCCTAGGCCTTTTGGTTACTGAGAAGAAGTTGTTTAAAGTAAAAAGTTGACGCCGGACGCACGCCGGACGCCGCACCATGCCACAAGCTCACTTGGCCAAAAATAATTCCACTCGTATGTTCAGTATGTGTGTTCCCCCTCTAACCCCTCCCCCCTTTAAATAATCTCTGTCCAACTTCTCCTATGGTCTATCATTACAACGACAAAGTTTTTTGGGATTTCCTGTCAATCGTCTCTGACAATCTAACGTGTCGATGAATTTAAGACACATTTACATGTATAGGCACACACTTCCATGTGTGTGATTTAAATGACAATGACACATTTCAATCAGCATAACGCTAACCCATTGATTTAAATTTGATTTTTAGTGATGAAGTCCGTTAAGAGTAGCACAGATCAAGAGAAGGCAATTATCTGTACTGATCGCCTGAAATAATGGTCTGGTTGTATTATCTAATATATATATATTTTTCTGCCCGTTCCTGTAAATCGTCTGACCGATTGTACCCGGGGATAATTGGATGGGGCGGATCACGATTGACAATCACAGCATGTTGTACAGGTTGGGCACAATGGCGCATATGGGTAATAATCCCGCATTTGGGTAACATCTTTGTATGCTATGGTTGAATGCACTTCAAATCAACTTTCACTATCCTATATAAAAAAATCAAAATTTTGTACTTCACTTACGTTATTGAAAATCGCCATATCTATTGGTTATAACAAACAACTTTTGGTTGAACAGTTTTTGGTTTTGAAAGTATTTCACGACCTTTGAAGCCTTAGAAAAGTCGGGACATCTAAAATCACGAAAATGTCAAAACACGAAAAAAACGTTCAACCAAAAGTTGTTTATAATACCCATATAAGTAGCGATTTTTAATAAAGATAGTGAAGCACAAAATTTTGATTATTTATATAGGATAGTGAAAGTAGATTCGAAGTGCATTCAACCATAACATACAAAGATGTTACCCAAATGCGGGATTATTACCCATATGCGCCGTTGTGCCGAACCTGTTGTATACGTACTTCACGATATTAAGCTACCAACACTATCAACACACAGATATAGTCGCGTTTAAACATGTTATTCATTACAGAAGTTATACCAACTTTCGGTTTGTGTATATATCTAGTACAGCAAAGTTTTGTCGACAGTGTAGTGCATGTGAAATAGTAATATACAGATATAACTAAACAGTGTTTGTGTAATTTACAGATGTGTACGTAACAAAGCCACCTTAGTTCCTTACACTCACCTTGTGAACTAACAATATCGACACGGAAAAGACAGTCTGGACTTCTATCGGCAGGACACTTGTTTACACCTTGGACCGATCTCCAAAGCAGGAAGTGTATATAGCGGTACTACTAATTACAGCCCGGTACAGCCCGGTAGAGCCCGGCACGGCCCGGGACACCCCGGTAGTGATATATTGACCGCCCGGGCGTTTGTCTCCACTTATACACCATTATGATTGTATTTTTTGCATTGTTTGTAACAGTATGAATGTAGTGATCAAGAAATAGTGAAAAAATCATTAAATTTGACCGAGTTATGGTTATTTGAAATTAGTAACATCGCAACAACCCGCTGGAGTAGAGCCAGACGTTCGTTATTTGTAATACAAACACCGCCCGGGCTTTTACCTTTGTAGTAAACTGTACTGAAGTAACTTATTCTCATATCTTTAGAAACGATAAAAATACAAAACTGAGAGAAATATCAAAATATGTTCACAATTAGCCAAGTTATTGTAATTTGAAGTTAACCAACACTGCAGGACTTGTTATTTACAATATTAGGACTGCCCGGGCGTTATCCTGTAAAGTTAATTTAATCTAAGTACTTTACTCGGGTTATTTAATGAATGAGAAACAAAACATAAAAGACAGTGTGAACATATCTTCATCATAAAAAGATGTATGCTGATCTAACTTTAGATACTTCGTTACATTACGCTGAAGGTTATATCACACGTGTTATTTGCAGCATCGGGACCGCCCGGGCTTTCTTCTTTATCGCTTGGTCAATTAAAACTATTTATTTGTTAAGATGTGAGTGTAAACAACACAATGCTGCAAATGATGTTAGAATATATTAATTATTGGCGGAGTTATGGTGTTTTGGAATTGTACATATTCCTGAACCATACGCTATATACATTAGCTGAAATCACGCGTGTTATTTGTAATATCGGGGTCGCCGGGGCTTTCATTTTTATTGTTAGCCAAACTAAAACTGTAAGTTCGTTTAGTTGAAGATGTATATATAACACGAGTGACAAAATAGGAGAATGTGTTAATTATTGGCATAGTTATGTTATTTTGAATTTAGTTACTTATCAACCATACAGTACTGCTGAAAATCACGCGTGTTATTTGTAACAACGGGGTCGCCCGGGCCTTCACCAGTATCATTAGCTAAACTAAAACTATTCAGTTGTTAAAGTATGTATGACATTAACTCAATTCTGAAACATTGTGAGAATATGTTAAATATTGGTATAGTTATGTTGTTTTTAAATTAGGTACTTATCAACCATACAGTACTGCTAAAATCATTGTCTAACACCGGATTTGCCCGGGCCTTCACCAGTATCATTAGCTCAACTAAAACTCTTCAGCTGTTTATTGACCAAATTCTGAACAATTGTGAGAACATGTTTATTGGCAGAGTATGATGTTTTAAAATTAGCTACTTCTCAACTATACGCTATCATATCAAGCTGAAATCGTGCGTGTAATTTAATATCGGTACCACCCGGGCTTAAAATTATTTTTTTTTCAACATGATTTCATCACTTCTTCAATTAAGTAATCTTAACAAAATCAACTTCATGTTTGGCTAGGGGATTAGGGGATACTTCCCCAGGTAAAACCCCGACCGGCCGGGGCGGCATAAACAAAGTAACGGCTATACCGTGCCGGGCTCGAGCTAAATAACCAATTATAATACTACCCACTTCAAATAGATGTAATTCAATCAATTTTAGGTATTAATCAATTAGGTGTTAAATAAGTAAGCGTTTCCGTATACTTAAAAATATAAAACAAACTTCAGGTTCTCCCCCTTCGAGCTACGATACTGTTAAATGAAGACAGCGACTGTATGTAACATCATTTTACGATAGTTTTACATTTATTTCGAGTAAATGGGTTAGACAACAAAATCTCAAGTATTAACATTATACATTTGTTCATGGTACCGCAAATGTGTCATATTTTACGAAGAATTGTACCCATTCAGTAAGACCGTATGATCTTACCAACCTTATACACCACGCCCATATACACCACAGCCTATTTCCCCAGGGTCACTGTTGTACAATGTTGCAAATATGTACTGGAGAGAATTATGCAATATAAACAACATTTTTGGACAAGATTTGTCTTGTATTTTACATTGGAAAACAAAATATAAAAGACATAAGATATCTTTCGAAATGTTAAGTTAACGTTGATTTACAATCAGTACGATCAATACAAATTGAATGTCACGGTGCAACCAGACATGTGTGTTTACCTTTAAGCTGTATGTCATGTAAGGGATAACTGTATTCGTATTTATACTGTAATTACAGGTCAAATCGGTGACACATACTTTCACTAATTGTTCTCTAAAGGCACGCTTGTGTTGTTTTTGTTCTTATGTTTTCTGTTTTGCGGGGGAGGGGTTCCAGTAATCCACTACTTTCCTATTGTTGTACACGTTTGTATTCCCAAACTGCAGTGCTTCTGTGTCCCGTGCACTACAAAAAATAATTGCCAACTATCCTTTCTCCGACAGGACGTTTCAGTTTTCATAGGAAATTGGATAAAAAGACCTCTTCGAAATTTATGAATAGGAGACTACTGTTGCCGACAACCACCCTTTTATGAAAACGAAATCTAATGAAAAGAATCAGAAAAGAAGCTGCAAAAAACATCATTTAAGGATTGGCTTACCACTTGATATTGTATATTGAAGGAACAGTATAATATACATTTTGTGCCTCACAGATACTGGTAGAGCTGGGGATTGTATGTAGCGGTAACAGTATTATTTTTGTCCCTCACCGATACTGGTAGAGCTGTGGATTGTATATAGCGGTAACAGTATTAATTTTGTGCCTCACAGATACTGGTAGAGCTGGGGATTGTATGTAGTGGTAGCAGTATTAATTTTGTCTCTCACAGACACTGGTAGAGGTGGAGATTGTATATAGTGGTAACAGTATTAGTTCTGTCCCTCACAGATACTGGTAGAGCTGGAGATTGTATATAGTAGTAACAGCATTAATTTTGTCTCTCACAGATACCGGTAGAGCTGGAGATGTATTATATCTCGATCAATCTCTATTTTACCACAAATTGTTTCCTATGGAGCAAGCGGTATTTGCAACTGAAGCAAACCTGGAGCTCTATGATGACCTGATAAAGGTAACTGACAAAAGTTAAGGCGTCTGATGTGTTAGATATATGAATTATTATATTACAATGTTAATCAAACACCCTGTATGACATCATAATACTGCCTCAGTGTGTCAGGCGAAATTTTGTCATTGTATAGGAGTTTTAAGAGGCAAAAATAGAAAGATGAAATATGAAATGTAAGAAAAAATGACAAATATGTCTGAAATTCGGAGATATGGAAAATAAGTTGTGAGTTATTATATTTAACATTTTTAGTTTTACTGTATTTGCTTTAGATACATTCTATATATTAAATGTATTACACATATATAGAGAATAAAACATGCCTTTTTCCATATCACACCCAGTATCAACCCGAGACTGCAATATCAGCCCGAGGGCTGATATTGGTCGAGGGTTGATACTGAGTGTGATATGGATAAAGGTGTGTTTTATTCTGTTTATTACATACTTACTAATAAATGCTACACTATCTTATGATCTATTTTTCTTTTGAAATATTGAAAAACGAAAAATTTCCAAAAGGGGTGTGATTAGGTGTTTTGCGGGCTGATACAGGTTTTGGGGTGTGATACGGCGGGGGCTGATACAGCTTTTGGGGTGTGATACGGCGAGGGCTGATATGGGTTAGAACAATTGTGTCGTATCGCATATACAAAAAAACGTATTTATTAGTAAGTATGTAATAAATATCAATATTCTTTGTTCAAAGACAGTCTATACGAGGTTTATAATACAGATATTAACTTCAGAAGCTACCGTTTACTTTAGATGTATTGGACAGTTTTAAATCTCGAGACATGGAATTTATTTATTTGTTAGAATGGGTTTAAATGGAAAGTAAACATGACTTTCACAAGATCTGCTGTATTTCACAAGTCAACATGACTTTCACAAGATCTGCTGTATTTTACAGGTCAACATCTCTTTCACAAGATCTGCTGTATTTCACAAGTCAACATGACTTTCACAAGATCTGCTGTATTTCACAAGTCAACATCTCTTTCACAAGATCTGCTGTATTTCACAAGTTAACATCTCTTTCACAAGATCTGCTGTATTTCACAAGTCAACATGACTTTCACAAGATCTGCTGTGTTCCACTGTGAATTAAAATACTGTTGTCGTTTTCTCCAATTGAACTACTGTATGATGTTCTCTTTTCAGAAGCGAGGCCTGAACGCTAAGAAAGCTAAAGAAAAACAGCAGTCGAATTTCGACGGACGTATTATGGTATAGCGTTTGCGTCCGTCCGTCGTTCCGTCCGCCCGTATGGTTAAAGTTTAGGTGCAAGTTTCTTTAGTGGTGTACAGTTCAGTTAGATCATGTGTTATTGTCCTCATGTTTGGCATGAATGTTCATGTGGGGTCTAAGGGACAATATGAATTTAATTTAACAAACAAAAATCATTCGATAGGGTCAGACGGGCGTATAATGCATCCGTTTGCGATGCTCTTGTTTCTCTTGAAACTGTGATCAATTTGTTCGATAGGAAATTAATCTGGAATGTAGGAATACTTAGTATATTTAGCTCAACTGGCACTTTGTTGAGCTGATGGTATGGTGTGTTGTCCATTGTCCGTCAACTTTTTCCTCGAACGACTTCTTTTTAAGGACAGGAAGACCTACAGCCGTGATATTTGGCCAGTAGGTACCTTTGGCAGAGTGCTATAAAGTTTCCTGAAATAAATGACATTGACCTACTTCCAAGGTCACAAGGTTCAAAAATTGTGAAACATTTAAACAACTTCTTCTGACAAACCAAGAGGCCTAGAACAATGCTATTTGGCCAGTATGTACCTGGGACAGAGTGCTATAAAAAAATTCAATAAATGACCTTGACCTACTTTCAAGATCACATTGGTCAAATATGTAAAAACCTTTAAACAACTTTTTTCTGCAATAACCAGGAGGCAGTGTAATTATATTTTTCCAGTAGGTGCCT